CATTAAAAACAAAAACATAAGGATGACAAAATAACAGTGAGGAAGGTTTCCGAGTTACTCCTTAAGAGAGAAACATTCAAATAGCATTAAGTAATATTGTGCTTTAATACTCTTAAAATTTAAATTTAAGCTTTGAAAATTAGAAAAACAAACATGAATGAACATGGAGAGTATCATACTGAGTGAAATTAGAGGGAGAGGGACAGATATAGAATTATTGCACTTACGTATGGGATATGAAAAAAACATAGTATGAGAACAGTACTAAAGACAGTAGAAAGGAGGACTGCTTCATGGCAGGAAGCTTGACACAAGTGGGAAGGGGGATTCAAGTGGGGGGAGGGGAGGGGAAAGCACTTAGGACAGAGAAGGAAACACTATGACAGTCTTTGATGGAAATGATCACTATGATCACTATGGACAAGAACTGAGTGCTGAAAGAAGGTAAACTGATATACACGGTGCCCTTTCAGTAACAGTATTGTAAACCACAGTGCCTAAAAGGAAAAAAAGGAGAGAGTGAAAGAGACAGAGACAGAGAGGAAGGGTGAGGAGGGTAGAGGGAGAAAGGGAGGAAGGGCTGGAGGGAAGGTGAAATTTACAGTGGAGGAAGGAAGGAAAGAAGGGAAGGAGGGAGGGAGGGAATGAAAATCACAAAAAACAAACATCCTCTCTACTATAACGTGGGGAAGACTGAGATCCTTGCCTAGAGCCATAAATACCATTTTCTTGAGAAGCAGTTTAAGGATAATTTTATATTTTATTTATTTTTATTTATATATGTTAAATTTTTTATTAATTCACCATTATTTAAAAAGTTGATAATTGAGGTTTAGACATGCAATATTCTAGCACCAATTGCACCACCAGTGTCAACTACTCTCCACCAAAGCCAATTCAAATTATATCAAGACATTAAGAGATTTTATTATGAAAGAAAGCTAGGACCAGAGAGATAGTACAGTGTGTAGGTCATTTACCTTGCATGCAGCCAACCAGAGTTCAATCCCCAGCATCTCATATGGTCTCCCAAGCACCACAGGAGTAATATCTGAGCACAAAGCCAGGAGTAAACCCTGGTCTCCAAATACAAAGAGAGAATGAAGGTCAACTTTAGTGGCGGGAATAGTTTGAGTCACATTCTAATTTTTTTTTTGTTTTAAACTCAAGACTATTTAGGGGCCAGAGAAGTAGTACAGTGGGTAGGGTGCTTGTTTTGCATATGTTGGACCCATATTTTGATCACCAGCACCTCGTATGGCATCCCAAGCCTTGCCAGGAGTGATCCATGGGTGCATAACCAGAAGCAAGCACTGAGCACTGCTGAATGTAGCCAAAAATCACCACTCAGAAAATAAACAAGCTCAATGATATTTAATAAGGGACTGGAGTGATAGTACAGCGGGTAGGGAATTTGCCTTGCATGCCGCCCGGGTTCAATCCCCTGCATTCCATATGGTCCCCCAAGCACCAGTAGGAGTAATTCCTGAGTGCAGAGCCAAGATTAACCTCTGAGCTTTGCTGGGTGTAACAAATATATATATATATTTTTTTAATAAGAAATTCGATTCTGTTATTGTTGCTGTTTTTGCGGTGCCACACCTAGCAGTGTTCAGAGTTTACTCCTGACTTTGCACTCCAAAATTATTCCTGGCAGTGCTCATGGAAACATGTGGTGCCAGAATCAAACCTTGTCAGCAACATGCAAGACAAACACCTTATTCACTTGTTCTATCTCTCCAGGAGATATAATGGCCCCAGGAATTTAATTCTTTTAAAAATAAATTATTATAGAACTGTAGCACTGTAGCACTGTCCTCCCGTTGTTCATCAATTTGCTTGAGTGGGCCCAGTAACGTCTTAAGGGAAACTTGTTGTTACTGTGTTTGCCATATCTTAAGAATCCATAAAATACACTGAGAAAAATATAGGCAAAATACTCCAAGATTTGGACCTCAAAGGCGTTTTCAATGATATGCTTCCATTAGCAAAGGCAACAGAAACAAAAATAAGCAAATGGGACTTTATCAAATTAAAAGGTTCATGCACTGCAAAAGAATCAAGGGTTAAAACTAAAAGACATCCAACTGAACGGGAGAAAATATTTGCACAGGAAATATCAGATAAAGGGTTAATGTCCAAGATGTATAAATACTCACAAGACTTAATGCACACACCCCGAAAAAAATAGAAAAACTCCATCAAAAATAGGGAGAGGTAATGAACAGACACTCACCTGAAGAAGGTACATAATTGGCCAATAAGCGCATAAAAAAGTGTCTCTCATCACTTATTATCAGGAAAATCCAAATAAAGATGACAATGAAATATCCTTTCACACCCAGGAGAATAGCAGATATGGAGGTCAGAGAGATAATACAGTGTATCAGGTGCTTGCCTTGCATGCATCTGACATGAGTTCAATCCCAGGCACCCCATAGCATTTCCTCAGGAGTGATCCTGAGCATTCTCTCAGGAGTAATCCCTGAGTGTAGAGCCAGGACCGGGTCCTGAGCACCTTCAGGTCCACCCCTCCCCAACAGAAAAAAAGGTCACATATAAAAAAAATTGGGGACATTCTGGGAAATAATTCTTAAATGCTGGCATCTAATTAATGAATATTATTAGATGAAATTCTTAATAATGAAATTCTTAAATGCTGTCATCTAATTAATGAATATTATTATGTAGGTTCTGGAAAACAATTCTTAAATTCTGTCATTTAGTTAGTGAATATTATTATATATGTCAAACAAAGTATTTTGGAAACTGACTCCATAGAGGTTCTACTATTATGTAACTTTTATTTTGTTCTGTTTTTGAGTCACACCCAGCCATGCTCATGGGGTTATTCCTGACTCTGCACTCAGGAATTACTCCAGTACTCAGGATCATATGGGTTCCGGGGATTGAACCTGGGTCTGCTGTGTGCAAGGAAAGCACTCAATCACTGTACTATTTCCCAAGCCCTGTTCTGTACCTTTAACATAGAAATACCGATGAGTCAAAATAAAGTTATTGGGTTGTTCCTTCTTTTGGGGGTTGGGGGATGGGGTTGCATTTAAAACAACATTTACTCCAGGCTCTGTGTTTGGGGGTCATGCTATAGTGACTATAAGGATAATTTAATTAGAGTATATCCTCAAATGAATAAAGCCTCCCCAACCCCCAAATTCTGGTTGAATCCCTGGAGTCATAAGAAATGTTTTATGAAAATTCTTAAGAGTCCTGAGTTCCTATTCCTCCTTTCCTAAATGCAGTTAGGCACTGTAGTGACACCAAAAATTTGTCTAGCATTGGTGGTATAGTGGTGAGCATCGCTGCCTTCTAAAATTTTTTTTGACTCAGTGTGACGTAGGTTTTCATGTTGTATCTTAGCAGATTGGACAGAGATTGAATCATTTAAAGACCTTAACTGTACCTGAGTTAATTTTGTTGAGCACAAAAATGACAGAATCAATTTCACCAAGAATGTAGCAGACCTTAAACTCACCTGAATTGAAGGCGTCTTTCAAATGGAGATGAAGGATTTCATGTTAAATTCTTTTTGTGGGGGATGAGGCATGTTGGTTTGGGCCATATCCTGTAGTGCTTGAGGGCTACTCACAACTGGGTGCTAAGAGAATCATTCAGTGCTGGAGACTGAGCCTGGTTTACCTGCATGCAAACTATGTGTGCAATTTGTTGAGCTATCTCTCTGGCCCTAAATGTCAACTCATAAACATCACATTTCTTTGACCATTCAGATTTATAGGTCAAAAGTTGTATTCTCTATACTGTCCTTTATAAATTCTATCATATCCAAAGTTGACTTGTAGTAGTCATTACTGTCATTTTTTAATCCATTTATAAATTACAATTTCAGTTTTTCTCTTAAAGGAATGGCTACCTCCTCCATTCTGGGCTTTATTTAGAGTTTAAAAGTGCTTTTTTTCTTTTTATATAGATATTTAGCTGTTTTTACTCCAATTTTAAAAAATTAACTCAGCATAAAAACCAACATTTTCATACCAAATAAAAATACAATTTGCTGCCAAGGCTTTTCTTTCATTTCTCCCTTTCAATGTTACTTACACTTATTAGACAGCTTTTTGGAATTTATTTTCATGAAAGTGTACATTTTATTTAAGACCTTATAGAAATATTATTTGTTTAATGCTATTCAAAAGTTAATAAGGTCAGATTATTCAAAGCAATCAATACAATAAAATTATTTTAGTAAGATCACAAATATTTCTTTTTAAAAAATTTAAGTTACCATGAATTACAAAGTTGCAAAGATATTTATGATTGAGCTTCAGGCATACAATGTTCCAACACCAATCCCTTCACCAGAATTCCCTACCCTCTAACAATGTTCCCAGTTTCCCTTCCCTCACACAAGCCTGCCTGTGTGGCAGGTACTTTTCCCCTCCACCAATGTCTTAGTGTTCCCTTATCTCTACACATCCCACTAGCAAATTTCCTACTGAAGACCAGTTCTCTCAGATCACAAATATTTCTAAAATCAGCTTTATTTGCTCTATGAAACACTGGGGAAATATGCTTTCCCCAGGGTACACTTATATGTGCAAGACAGTGCTAGAAGTCTCTCCCATCTCAGTCCCTATGGGAATTCATCTTCATCTGACACAACGTAGTTTACTTGTTAGTAGGTTCTGGGCCTGTAGTCTTAAGCATTGTTGGTTCGGTGGTCTGTTCACTGATACATTCCTACTTCATGATGGCTGTTACAGAGTAGTTCTTAATTAGATGGTTAATTAAAATAATCCAAAGAATCTAGAAGTTGCAGAGTAACTCACATCAGTTCATCAATGATGCAAACATTAGTATTAAAACATCTAGAAAAAGTTTTGAGCTTTTTTCCAGGTCTTTTGCTTCTTCAATGTGACAGTCTCTGAATTATGAGCAGTATCAGTCTCTAAACCTTTGGTCAGTGAAGACGTTTCAGATAAAATGATCTAGCAATTAACAAATGTGGGAGAGCATGAAGGGGAAAATTAAGCGGTAGCCTCAATGGGGCATTCGCGGGCCAGATGGCCGGATTCACCACAGCGATAGCAGTTAACCTGGCTGTTCTTGCTGCAGTTGATGGCCACGTGACCCGTCTCACCACATCGGTAGCATTTAACTTGGGTACAGTTCTTTTTAATATGACCATATTCGCCACAAGAGTAACACTTCTGCTCTTCATGACGCTCACAATCCCGAGCTAAGTGACCTGGTCTACCACAAGCATAACAGCACTGATCTCTCTCACGTTTCGGCTCAGTACAGTCCTTCGCGATATGGCCACTCTTCCCACAGTTGTAACAGATGTCTTCAAGCAGATCACAGTTTCTGACATGATGACCAGACTCACCACAGCGGTAACAGACATCAGGGGTGTTGGAAGTACTCGCACCACTTCTGCCCCGGTTTCTAATTACACGCCCTCGACTTCCTCCTTTAGGACAGCAGCGAGCCCAGTGGCCAGTGCGTCCACACTTGAAGCATTCCTTACTGGTCATGGTGGTGGTGAGATCTTAAGCTGGCACACCACTGCCCAGGAGGCCCCGTTGCAACTCCCTTGCGGTGTTAGTTAACTGTGGATGTTTTTCTCTTGGGGACTCGTGACGTCACACAAGGTTTGCATGCAAGCCTCCTGCTATGTCACAATTGCTTCAAGTGCCCTACCCTTCTTGACTTTCCTCCTACTTTTGAGGCTTATAAAGTAGGTAGCTGAGAGGTGGTGATGGTTTTATTTATAAATAAATAAATAACAGCTGGGTCATTAAATTTGACTTTAATGCTCTGTATTCTGAAAATGTGCCTAGTAGGGTTTTTTCCCCCATTAGTTTCTAGATCACAATGCTCTGGAGTTACTCCTGGCTCTGCACTCAAAAATCACTCTTGGCTGTGCTCAGTCCTGGGGATGGAACCCTGGAAGGCTGCATGCAAGCCAAGTGCCTTACCCACTGTACTATCTCTCAGACCCCTGTAGGTTTTATTTTAATTAAAATGTAGATTTTCTTTGTGGTACTAACCAGTTTACATATATTCCTTGAACATAACAAAAATGTGAGATTGACCTAATTCAGTAAATGAAAATAAAATGAGCAACCAATTTTGCTACAAATCAAAAATATAATTGTTTATAGGAATTCCTCGACCCCTCTCAGAGAGCCCAGCAAGCTACTGAGAGTATCTCGCCCACACGGCAAAGCCTGGCAAGCTACCTGTGACGTATTCGATATGACAAACACAGTAACAGCAAATCTCACAATGGAGATGTTACTGGGTCCGCTCGAGCAAATTGATAAACAACGGGAGGACAGTGACAGTGACAGGGATATGATATATATATATATAAAATTGTAAAAAGTCACAGTGAGATTTGCTCATAGCTTAGACTATTTTAGAGTAAGGATCTTAGTGTTTTACTTCATTGCTTGTTTGTTTGGAGAAGCTATATCCTGTCGTTCTTAGAGGTTTGATCCCCAGCCATGGTCCCCCACTCCTCCCAAAAGAAGTAGAGATTATGTGTGTAAATATAACTCAAATTATTATTTTTTAAATTTTATTTATTTATTTTTAATTTATATTAGTGAAACACCATGAGGTACAGTTGTAGATTTATAATTTTTAGTGCTTGGGTTTCAATTATACAATGATCAAATACCCATCCCTCCACCAGTGCCCATTTTCCACCACCATGGATCCCAGTATCCCTCCCACACCCATCCCCCCCATCCCACCCTGCCTCTGTGGCAGGGCATTCCCTTTTGTTCTCTCTCTCCTTTTGAGTGTTGTGGTCTGCAAAAGAGGCATTGAGTGGCAAACATGTTCAGTCCATAGTCTACTTTCAACATGCATCTGCACTCCTGGGAGAATCCTCCAAACACCCTTTATTTGGTGCTCCCTTCTCTATCTGAACTGCCCTTTCCCCTAGAATACCCGGCTGGCCTCTAAGCTATGGAGTAATCCTCCTGGTGTTGATCTCAGCTATTCTTGGGTATTAATCTCATATTTTGTTACTTTATATCCCCCAAATGAATGTAATCTTTCTATGTCTATCCCTCTCTTTCTGACTCATTTCGCTTAGCATGATACTTTCCATGTTGTACCACATGTATGTAAATTTCATGACTTCATCTTTTCTAACAGCTATATAGTACTCCATTGTGTAGATGTACCAAAGTTTCTTTAACAAGTCATCTGTTCTCAGGCACTCAGGTGTTTTGCAGATTCTGGCTATTGTAAAGAGTGCTGCAATGAACAAACAAGTGTAGATGTCACTTCGACTATACTTTTTTGCCTTTCTGGGATATATTCCCAGGAGTGGTATTGCTGGGTCAAATGGGAGCTCAATTTCTAATTTTTTTAGAATCGTCCATACTGTTTTCCAGAAGGGCTGAACCAGTCGGCATTCCCACCAACAGTGAAGGAGTGTCCCTTTCTCGCCAGATCCTCGCCAGCATCGGTTGCTTTTGTTCTTTTGAATGTGGGCCAGTCTCTGAGGTGTAAGATGGTATCTCATTGTGGTTTTGATCTGCATCTCCCTGAGGATTAATGATGTAGAGCATTTTCTCATGTGCTTTTTTGCCATTCAGATTTCTTCTTTGAGAAAGTTTTTGTTCATTTCATTGCCCCATTTTTTGATGGGGCTGGATGTTTTCTTCTTGTGGAATTCAACCATTACTTTGTATATCCTTAATATCAACCCCTTGTCAGATGTGTATTCGGCGAATATCCTTTCCCATTCTGTAGACTGTCTTTGTATTTTGGTCACTGTTTCTTTGCTGGTGCAGAAGCTTCTTAGTTTAAGATAGTCCCATTTATCTATCTCCATTTTTACTTGGTAGGCCAGTGGCGTGGCATCTTTAGAGATACCATTAGCTTCAATGTCGTGGAGGGTTTTTCCAACTTTGTCTTCAATGTACCTTATGGTTTCTGGTCTGATGTTGAGGTCTTTAATCCATTTTGATCTTACTTTTGTACATGGTGTTAGGCAGAGATCTGAGCCCACTTTTTTGCATGTAGCCGTCCAGTGATGCCAGCGCAATTTGTTAAAGAGGCTTTCCTTACTCCACTTCACATTTCTTGCACCTTTATCAAAGATTGGATGATCATATGATTGAGGAGAGATGTCAGTGTATTAAACCCTGTTCCATTGGTCTGCAGCTCTGCCTTTGTTCCAGTACCTTACTGTTTTAATTATTACTGCTTTGTAGTACAGTTTGAAGTTAGGGAGGTTGATTCCTCCCATTTTCTTTTCCCCAAGAATTGCTTTAGCTATTCGTGGGGGCTTATTGTTCCATATAAATTTCAGGAGTGTTTGCTCCATTTCTTTGAAGAATGTCATGGATATCCTTATAGGGATTGCATTGAATTTATACAACGCTTTCGGTAGTGTTGCCATTTTGACAATGTTAAGTCTCCCGACCCATGAGCAGCTGATATCTTTCCATTTCCTCATGTCCTCTTTTATTTCCTGAAGTAGCGTTTTGTAGTTTTCTTTGTACAGGTCCTTTACTTTCTTAGTTAAGCTGATTCCTAGGTACTTGATTTTCTGGGGCACAATTGTGAACGGGATTGTTTTTTCATGTAGCTTTCTTCTCTCTCACTATTTGCGTATAGGAAAGCCATGGACTTTTGGGTATTGATTTTATAGCCTGCAAATTTACTAAACACGTCTATTGTTTCTAGGAGTTTTTTGGTGGAGGTTATTGGGTTCTCTAAGTAGAGTATCATATCATCTGCAAATAGTGAGAGCTTGATTTCTTCCTTTCCTACCTGAATGCCCTTAATATCTTTTTCTTGCCTAATCGCTATTGCAAGTACTTCCAGTACTATACTGAACAGCAGTGGAGAGAGTGGGCATTCTTGTCTCATCCCTGATCTTAGCGGGAAGGCTCTCAGTTTTTCCCCATCGAGGATGATGCTTGCTGTAGGCTTGTGGTAGATGGCTTTAACTATGTTGAGGAAAGTCCCCTCTATACCCATTTTGGCTAGGGTTTTCATCATAAAGGGGTGCTGGATCTTGTCAAATGCTTTCTCTGCATCTATTGGTATGATCATATGGTTTTTATCTTTTCTTTTGTTGATATGATGGATTATGTTGACTGATTTCCGAACTTTAAGCCATCCTTGCGTCCCTGGGATGAATCCTACTTGGTCATGGTGTATGATCTTTTTGATGAGTAGTTGGATTCTATTTGCTAGTAGTTTGTTGAGGATCTTTGCATCTGTGTTCATCAGAGATATTGGCCTCTAATTCTCTTTCTTTGTGGTATCTCTGTCTGCTTTTGGTATTCAAATTATTTTAAGAAAAAAATTATCCTTTGTGTCATAATACTTTCCTGTTTTGTATTCATGTTGTAAAAACTACCGGTGGTGACTATTAAAATTGATTTTTTATTTACTATATGGTTTTAATGTAGTCTAAAACAGACGGACTTAGTCATAATAATAAAGATCTATAATAGCTTACTGTTTCAGTTATAGACGTTACCTATAATTTTCCATTTCAATGACTTTTTTTTGCTTTTTGGGTCACACCGGGCGATGCTCAGGGGTTACTCCTGGCTCTGCACTCAGGAATTATTCCTGGAGGTTCTCGGGAGAACATTTGGGATGCCAGGGATCGAATCTGGTCGGCCGCATGCAAGGCAAATGCCCTACCCCCTGTACTTCCACTCCGGTTCCTTCAATGACTATTTAGCCCTTTATTTTTACCCATGCCCTCTTTTTATCTACCTCACTTACTTTGTTACTTCAAATTCTTCACATACACCCCGATTTTACCATTCTCATAATATTGGTTGGATCAACATTCAATTTATTCAATTATTTGAATGATTTTTGATTGAATAAATATTGATTCAAATTTTTCAAATTATTATAGCTATATAAATGCTACTCATGGCTCAGTAATGAACACTTTAATTGTTTTTTATTATTTTGGAGTAGTTTATGAAAAAGATTAATACTATTTCTCCTTTAAATGTTTGGAAGATTTTCAAGTCAGAGAAACATACAGGAATTAGAACTCTTGGACTCACCCTTGTTTGATCCCAGGAACCACATATGGTCCTCCTGAGCACTGTCAGGGGTAATCCCTGAGTATAGAACAATGAATAAGCACAGCCAGATGTGGCCCAAGCACAGTCCCCCCTCAAATAAAAGTTTGGAATATTTCACTGAGTAAAGTCATCTCAGTCTGGACTTTTCTTGTGGGAAATTACTAGTTTAGTCTTTTCATTTGTTCTTTCATTTTTAAAAAATTTTCTTTATTTACCATTATTTCACGATACTATGAAATTTCAGAAGAGTTTTATGTCTGTATAAGATTCAGAGGTCAGAGCAATAGTAAAGCGGGTAGAGCTCTGGCCTTGCAAGTGGCAGACCAGAGTTTGATCCCCCGCACCCCATATGTAACCCTGAGCACTACCAGGATTAATTCTTGAGTGCAGAGCCAGGAGTAACCCCTGAGCATCGCCAGGTGTGATCCAAATAGCAGGAAAAAAAT